TCTCGGTTGGTTGCTCTGTTTTACCAGTGCCTCTTGATGGATGAGGATGACAGACTTCTCTTACACACTACCATTGATGGTCAGGAGATTGATATTTCTATCTCGGCCATAGCTGCTGCCAGTTGATGCCCCCACACTTCTTTATTGGCTGATGATACTCAGGAGCCTCTGTACCCTACACATCCACCATTTCCCCCTGAGCTGACCATGGTAGCTACATTATCTCCACAGGTAGCATATGAGGGGCACACTTTTGTAGACCGGGTCGAGATTGATCCCCGGTACTAGTTCTTCGATTCAATGTTGCACCTCAATGCATTCCCTGCAGGTCATGGCACTCAGAGGCGAGAGGGGATATTTTAGGCTTTATATTGTTTAGATTAGGGGTATTGGATCTCTATTCCTGCGCTTATATGGGAGCTCATGCACAAGTTCTGGAAGAACTTGCATCACATGCATAGCACTAGAGCAGAGACCTGGCCTTTACCTTTTGGCCATTTGATTACACAGCTGCTTCTAGACCATGGGTATTAGTTTGACCCTGAGGAGATTCTAGAGCCTGATGCAGAGCGATCCAAGAGAGCCTATGATCTGGCCCGGTGGAATAAAACCTTCAATTCATGCCGTAAGAACAGAGCCAACAGGGATACGAAGAGACTACAGGCATAGTAGCAGAGAGCAGCAGCACAGGCAGCCGCAGCAGGCGATGCTCTAGAGGATGATACAGCAGATAGATCTCCCTTCAGGCAGAGATGCCGCATTACCACTTTAAGTTCTACCTTTCAGCCACATGTACCTAGTGTATCTCAGTAGACTGGCCCTTCATATGCCCCTCTTACTGATCCGACAGCCCATACCAGCACTGATTCTAGCTACAGATCAGAGGTAGCTCAGCTACATACAGATTTCATATCTTTCAGAGCTGATATGACTGGGCGGCACGATGATGTCATAAGGAGGTATGATGATTTGGTGAGGAGACATGACGACCTGGTGGGGAGACATGATGATTTAGTTCGCCGATCAGATGAGCTGCCAGTAGATGTAGCTGAGGTGAGACGTAAGCTAGGCGCACTGCGCACTGACCTTACAGACTTTCTCACTCGCCACAGCACTGAGATGTCTGCCATGCTACAGCATATTACGGACATGATTACTCCAGATCCTACCGTCTAATCCCATTCTCGCTTTTTCTTACTCATTACCTATTTGATATCTGCTCTGCTATGATTGCGAGATTTTTGCATTATCTAGACACTTGCACTGGTTTTGGATATTATTTGGATATTGTTTTAATATTATTTGGATGTTTCAGATATTTTTAGATATTATTGTTTCCATTACACTGGTACATTGATTTGTTGATAGTTGATCTTGCACTTATATGGATTTCTGGATCTTTGATATCGGTTTTGGATGTTATGAGCTTTACATTGCTCAATGCCATGATTTTTGCCCAGTTCTCAATTTCACTTCTCATTTATATCATTGATGCATATGCTTTGACAGTTGCTCATGTGACCATTTTCACCCATTTGGTATACTCTTTCCATTATCTGTTGCTTCTTTACACATTGAGGACAATGTATAGATTAAGTTTGGGGGTGTATTTGCATACTTTACATGTCTCACTTACTTTCTATGCATGTGATATGATTTTAGAATCCTGGGCTATGATTTTGATCTTTTGAGGACCATGATAGTTAGAATTTAAAAATTGTTTGACTTGAGAATCCAATACTCCTTGTATGCCTTATAGATGTCATTTAGGAGTAAATTTTTCAAAAAATTGATATCTTGCTTGCATTTGTGGTCCGCATCATCTTGATTTTGTGATTATTTTGAGATTCACTCTAGGATTATACACTAGCACAGGCGCACACTAGCATTCATTTGAAGGGTACATGCTTTGTTAATTATTGAATTGGTTATATCACAATTGAGCTAATAGTGTATTGAAATCTTTCATTTTGACAAAAGTGAATAACAATCCCTTTTCATTGAGTAGTGGGATTCTAGCCTCATTAAGCACTGAATTTCTTGCACCGAAAGGTGGAGGGCCCAAACTCTAGGTTAATAATTGAAAAAAAAAAAAAAAAGTTGCAAAAGCAAAAAAAAAAAAAAAAAATGAGAACTTCTCCCAAAAGGTGAGAAGTGGGAAATGATTAGATAGATGTTGTTCTGATTTGTAACTTAGTTGATTTGAGCTTGTAAGTCCTTAGGGGTATTTAAACACCTAATGCCTTAAAGCCGTCCGGTTTAGAAGTCATTGACCTAACGCTCGACCTCATGGATCTCTAGAAAGCTTAATAGATCATTACATTGCACCATGCTTCCATCTTTGATCCTCTAGGTTAAAAAAAAAAAAAAAAAAAAAAAAAAAAAAAAAATTGAGTGAAAAGAATAAGTACACCTAATTGAATAAGCTTTAATAAAAGGTCCACTCTTTGTTTTGATGATCAGGACTAGATTTGTGTGCTAGTTTTAGAATAAGGATGTGATCAATTCTCTAGTTGGCTTAAATAACAATATATTTGATGTCGGTTCACTTAAAAGGATTCTAGAGTTGTTTTGATTTGTATGACCATTTTCTTGATGTGTGGAGAATCATACTTGTTTGCTTGGTGTTGAGATTTTGGGAGATTGCTTGAAAAATGGTTGAAAAATTGCATACTTAAGGTAGTTTTCTCCCAATGCTTATTTTGTATATTGGTGCCTCTCTTGTGAGAAAGAGCTCGATGTTTGTGGGTATCATTTCTTGAAACCTTCACGAGACTTCACTCGTCCATTAGGGGTAACCTAGAGGTTTAAAAGGCTTGTTGCATACGCTAAATACAATCGTGTTTCCTACGAAAATGACGCTATCATTTGATTGCTTTCTAGTTGCTTAGTTGCTTATTTCTTTATTTTCCTTGTAGTTCATTGCTAGGGACTAGCAATATCTAAGTTTGGGGGTGTGATAAGTGCTCAAATGTGATGCATTTTAGCACATAAGCTAGGATATTTTAGTCCATTCATCTATCTTACTTTTATGTTTTAGATACTTATTTGTGTTTTTGGCTATTTTAGGTAAAGTTCAAACAGGCTAACAAGAGCCATTTAGCTCAGTTTTGGAGCTAAGGAGCAAAGTTGGAAAAAGCCAAGAAAAATGCACCAGGGGAACTTCGATCGATCGAAGGGAAGTCTCGATCGATCGAAGAGGTCTACAATCGATCGAAATGAGGCGATGCCAGCTCAGCCAATTGGATAAATCTTGGAAGATATTTTCGAGCCACGTCAGCTTCAATCGATCGAAGCTAAGTGTCCGATCGATTGAGGATCTTCGATCGAACGAAATGCCTACTGGTAGTGAGCTGTTTAATTTTCGAGCGCGCCGATTTCTACGTAACTTGTGTAACTGCAAATTTCTTCCAATCACAGGCTATAATTTTGACTTGGTCCTTACTCAAAGGAGTATGTAATTTATTTATTGAACATAATTGTAATAGATAGATATTACCAATTATATAAATAATTTTTCTTCTCTCTAGAACTAGGGTTTTGGGAAGAAAGCAAGAATGAAGATGATGATGCCAACCTCCAAGCTAGCCCTTAAGGGTTCCATGTCCACTATAATGAGTGGCTAAATCCTTCTCTTGGGGCTAGAGATAGCCCATAGGCTTGCTTCTCAAACCTAGATTTTGTGTATTTTTGGGAATTTTAATTGTAATAGATGTTTTGACCATGAATAAATATAGATCTTGTGATTTCTACTTGATTTGTTGGATTAATGCTTTCAATTGATCATTTGGCTCTAGTTATATGTCTATATATGCTAAAATTGATGTTCATGTTTTTGTCTCTAGATTTAATGAAATTGATGCATGTCTATGTGTGTTGATGATGTTAATCTAGTGATGGTCAAGGCATGGTGCTTAATGGAACACTTTTATGATTTATTTGATGGTTCACACTTATTTCTTGATGGATTGTATCACATTTCTAGTTTAATTAGTTTAATTTCATGTTTCTAGCCTAGTTGTAGTGTAATTGCTTTAATTTCTTAGGTAGTTGAGCAATCCATTCTTGTTTCTTGATGTTCCATACTTGTGAATGCAAAGAGTGCATGTCTCTAGATATTTGTATGTGCATTCATTATGGTTTAATTGAATGGATATGTTTCATTTGATAGGTTGTGCTATTCATTAAAATTGGCTAGACAATCTATACTTATTTGCCATTCATGCTTAGTTTCAATTATTTTCACACACACACACACACACACACAAGTTACAAATTAAATTTCCCTATTAATGTATAATTGCTAGTGTTTGATGAAGTGAAACTTAATGGTGACTCTAAGTCTCAAGACCTCTCTCCTATATCTTTTCACTATTTTCTAGATTGCTATTTACTTGCATGAGTTTTAATTACATTATAATTTAATTAAATATTCACCAACCATCTTTGATCATTCGACCTACTAATCCGATATTAATTTTCATCACAAATATACCTCCTTTCCATTGGGACAATCCCTACTCACTCTACCTATATTTTTAGTTAAAAGTAGTAGTGACATTTTCTAAATTTAAATTTGGCCACACTACACACTTTTGCATGCTTCGGTCTTGACCACACCAAAAATGTAGGGTAATCAATACATTTGATGGGGGGGTCGTTAGGGTATTTCACATGAACCGTAAAAGGGGCATTTTAGGGAACCAACACTACATTTCCATATGAACATCACACTTAAAAGCAAAATTCATGTTGATGAAAATGGTTGACTTTGAGTCCATAAAAAAACCTCCAAAAATCCATTCTGTAATTAACCCTTATTTTATCTAATAGCTACCGTATTAAATTTTGATAAATTACTTTTCTAGTTGTCCGCAATGTTATTCTATATTACATTAGGCATATCAAGCGCAAAGGTTGTGTACATTGAATCTGACCAACGTCATGATGCAGACCGAAGAATATTGTACCTCATTTTTTCACGCTAAATGGAGCAGAGCAAATAGAACACGACTCTTTAAATGGAGAGGATTTGGATCTCTCTTTTTATGCTCGAAATCTTGGTGGGTGTTCAAATATATATACATGCGGCCGGCGAGTCAAGAATCGAGAGCCGAATAAAATAAGACCAGTGGGTGGGTCCTGTAACATTGACCTGCCGGTGGGTGTCGTGCCGCAACTCAAGCTGTGCTTGTCCTCTCTAACTGCATGGCACCCTTCATTGCCTTACGTGTTCATCTCTCCTCTGTTTCTACAACCGTTTGCCTCTACTTTCGCAACGTTGGCAAAGGAAAAAAAATATATATATATATATATATATATATATTTATTTATCATACCCACTTGTGCATTGGAGTCTGATAACGTTTCTTCAGAACAGATAGCTTGAGTTCGAGTTGGAACGACGATGAAAGCTATAACTCCTCAGACTGGACTATTACAAATTTGAATACTAGTTGATAAGGTAATTTTTTTTCTCTTTTTTGTTTCTTTTTCGTCTCTCCTATGCAATAATGTTTCAACTGTTTTGGATTTTACATTTGTTGATTGATTAATCTATATAAAAGCATTTTTTTTTTTTTTTTGTATACGTGATAAAGGATTGTAAGATGACCCTCTTGGGAATTAAATTTTTTTTTTTCTTTTCATTTTTATATTTTAAAAAACCAAGCTTTTTTGTTCAGTGGAAGTCTATTATTACTTTTGTGATCTCAGAAATTCCTTTTATAGTATTCTCTAATTTCAAGTTGTTGTTCTGGAATGGAGATTAATTCTTTCATGGTGTATGATTAAATTGTATCTAAGTTATTTTATTAATTTAATTTCTTGCTGGTTTTCTGGAATTAAAATTCTATCATGATGTGTATTAATTAGTTGTTGGTGTTGTCAATGTTGATTTATTTAATTATTTGTATATTTAGTTATTTGTGTATGAATTGTGTTCTTTCCTACAGCTGGTTTTGTGCACGAACCAAGCATTTCGTTGCTTTGATGCATTGAATTTTCTAATTCAGTTTGTTACTGTCTCCTAAATAGTGTCAATTTAATGAATTATGATACTATTTAAAGCTTTTCGTTACCAAATTTATTTTCTTCACTTCCCTAAGGAAATATGAGATTTTGTTCATGATACAGTTCAACGAATATGGATTGTTATGCACAATAAATTACTTCCTTCCCATTCATGCACTCATTTTCATCATTGAACAAGGGAGGTGTAAAAGAAGGGATATATTATTTCGTTATACATATGTTTTGTACTTCTATGAAAACTGACACCGGTTTCAGTAGAAATATTTCCTGCTAGGACAAATATATCCTGGGTAGATGCTAACTGAAGATATTGTTTGAATTTGAGAAATGTCAATTCTGGTGGGGCCTTATGGGTCATTTGAATGCCCGAAAGGGTACCCCTTACTTACAGCCCTATATAAATAAACAAAAGAAGCAGAATAAGAAATTGCATTATTGTTTGATTTGAAATATGCCCATTTTCAATATTTTTTTAGTCTATTTTTCTATTTGGAAGTTGTTATGTGCAAGGCAGACTATACAATAACGTAATTCAATTTTCATGGGAATTCCCAAACATGCTTTAAAGGTTTAGGTGCTAGAATTTTAACCCAAAGTCTGATAAGAGGGCCTTATTGAATGCTTTCTTTCCAAATAGGAAGTGAAGGTTATCTTTAGAGTTGTGAAAGATTGGAAGGATTTCAACATGGGGCTTTTGGATCTGTTCATAGCCGCATCGATTCCAGTCCTGAAAGTGCTATTGGTGACAGCAGTCGGGTCATTTCTTGCATTAGATCATGTCAATATATTGGGGGAGGATGCAAGGAAGCATTTAAATAATGTAAGTGACAGGTTCATGCATTTTAAGTCTTTGTGGTTTTTTTTCAATTCTAACTCATTTGTTTGGCAGTTATATTACTTTGTACTTTACCAGAATGTGTAAGAATCGTGCATTGATAATAATGTGCTGGAATATTCATGGGTTAAAGGAAAAGTCATTTTCAGCAATTTTTTGTTTCCATAAATGGGTTGGTTGGTGATTTCTTTCCAAAGATAAAGCATTTCAGTACAAGAGAAAAGAGGGCATACCCTCTATGAAATCTGAAAGGAAAAAACTGAGCACCCAAACATGCCTATAAGTGAAAGAACACAAAAAGCTAAGAAATGACTGCATGAGTAGAAGTAGAGGCTGCATCAAGAAGAGTGAGCCAAATAGATTTGGCGACCTAAGAAGGATCTTTTTTCAAACCATGGTGAAGTCTAGTATTCCTCTCTTGCCAAATCTCCCAAATAACTGCCGAAAACAGCATTCGCTCAACTTTAGATCTCACATTATGAACAAACCAGAAGACCAACTGATCCAATTTAATATCAGTAGAGGCGAAGGAAGGACAATCCCGATTAAGGAGCTGGTAGAATCAATCCATACATCTCTAGCAATACTGCAGTCAGTGAAAATATGGTCTCTGTCATCAATAGACTTGCAGCAGTTAACACATATGCAAGGTAGCTGCAATCCTCTTCCCTGCAAATTTTCTTTAAAAATTGGAATTTTATTAAAGCAAAGATCAAGCATCACAGTACAAAAGAAAAGAGGACATACCCTGTAATAAAACAAAGGGAAATAAGGATGAGTACATCCATTTCCTATATAAAGAAATTAACATCCCGAGTCTGAAGATCAGCAGCATCAAGAACAGAGAACCAAATGAAGCTAGCAGTTGCTAGACTGGAGGAAAAAACACCACTATGCAAACAGCACATCTTCGAAAGCTTAGAATTTCTGAAGTGAAGAAGAAACCAGTCTGCCAACTGATGAAGTCTACTGCTATCCTGATGAAAATTAGGCCAAGACCAATGCAGCAAAGAGCTAAACCAACCCCAAATAGCAGCCACAAAATCACAATCTACAAAAAGGTGATCTCTGTCATCAGTTGCTTTTTGAGCAATTAGTGCAAGTAGGTGCCAGATTCCAATCTTCTCTCTGCAGGTTAACAAATGAATGATGTTTGTCAACTTTTCCAAGAAAGGAACCCTTTTTATAGATGTTTAGGGGTGCCAAATACTTCTCATGCATAATTGAAAGGATTATGGTTATGGAAAGTAGTAATGGAACCATTAAATAAAAAAAGGGTCTTTTTCTAATATGAGGTTCAAATACTAAATTCACATTCATTTTCAAACTGTTTTATAAAAAACTTGTTTTCTTTCAAAACTATTTTTCTCCTCAACTCAATGTCAATTAGCAGCTCTTAAAGTAGTCTACAAAACCTTTTTAATCTAAGGAGTTGTTTGATAACTCAATTGAGCATTTAATTCTGAATATATTTAGTACTTTATTAATTAAGTGCATTTGATAACGCAATTTAGATACTACTTAAAAGAATAATGGTTACTTAAAACTTTGAGCAAAGGAGACCTCACTTATCAAAAAACACTTGAAATTAAAAATAAAATAAAGTAATAATAATTATAAAAATGTCAATTTATAATAAGCACTAAATATTAAGCATTTAAATGCTCTTAAAATTTTCAGTTTTCTGTTGCAATAAAGCCTCTACTTTTTCCTTGTTTTGCTTAAAAATTGGGGTGAAATAATCCACTTTGAGTGTAATGCTGGGGGAAGCGTAAGATGGAAATCAATGCGGATTGCAATAGGTAAGGAAAGACATTACAATGTGCGGTTTTAACTGAATATATGGCCCCAGTAGAGGATAAAGGCAAAACAAGATTCTTACTGGCAGAACAGGGGAAACTTTGTTGAGTTGAGATGATAAATGTGTGGGTGTCCTTGTGCATGAACATGTGTATACTTGTGCTTGTGTTTTTTTATTGGTTTTGGTGTTTCCTACCACCTCAAATCTTAGAATCTCCAACAAACAAGCCCTTCTTTGCTCCTGCACAGAACTTATTTGTCTGACCTCTCTCATTATGTGCTTTAAAAATATATCAGCCTACATACATGTATAATTGTTCCAAGTACTTGGTTCTTCATCTTAACTCTTAACTGTAGTTCTTCATGCCTGTGAACAGATTGTATTTTTTGTTTTCAATCCGGCTCTCGTGTCCAGCAACTTAGCCAAAACAATAACATATGAAAGCATGGTTAAATTGTGAGCTTTCTGATCATTGTCTCAATTTGTGCAATTTATGTTCAAGTTTGTCTGCCTAGTGTTGAGTTGATTTTTTTTTTTTTTCATTTTTATTTATGTGGAATAACTTTGGTTGAACTTATAGGTGGTTCATGCCTTTCAATATCCTCATTACGTTCATCATTGGTTCAGTACTTGGGTGGCTGGTTATCCAAATTACAAGAGCTCCTCGACATATGCGTGGCCTCATAGTAGGTTGTTGCGCTGCAGGTAATTATATTAGCAAACTATAATCCAGTATTCATTTATGTACAATATTTATTCTTACAATAATCTAGAGGCCAGTAACTCTCATTTCCCCTTCACTTTTATTTTATTCTTCTCTCTATCTTGTCTCTCACGTTTTATAAAATTTATCTTAATCTGTCTATACACTACAAATGAACTAAATTTTAGTAAAGCAAAGCGTTGCCCATATAATACACAAACAAATGCACTCCTACTTAGATACTCATGGGAATAGACTTTCTGGACTCAAAAAGAAGGCTGACAATGAAGGTAGGGAAGTTGAATGACTGAATCGAGATGATTTTAACGTCACTAAATCAAACTGGAAAATTGCTTGATACAGTCTTATTGGAAAGCTCATAATTTTGTTACCTTCAAATAAATAAAAGCAAGCACAACCATAATGCACATGGATAGGTGAGTTGGCGAAGTTGATGGCTTAACTGAACATCTCAGGTTCGACTCTGACCAAGCTTACCGGATACACATGTTCTGCAGGTGATTGCCTGCGTCCCTAGGGACTAGTCTCCATTCAAAGTGAGTCAGGGACACTTCGGCATAAACAAAAGAAAATATGTTTGTGTGTCCATGAAACCAAGGGGTATTTTGTGTTCTGATAATACAGTGAGAAACGTGGGTGGTCTTTTCACATAAGGGTTTCATACTTGAGAGAAAATATCATTTCCGAACAAAGAAGAAGCAACATATTAAGTTTTGGAGGTTAATGCTGAGAAAACATTAAATTAAATTGCTGGCACACCTTTTAGTTACAATAAGTAGAATAATGAAAATACATTTATACTTTTGTTTGAGACAAGTGCCGAGTAATATAGATTGGCAAATTAACATGGTAGTGCCAAATTAGTCCTTGTCATCATTGGGAAGCTAAGGATGGAAAGTGTATATGACAACCCACTTTTGTTTCGATTGTAAAACTTGGGCTCTGCCTCTGAGTTCCTGATGTGGAACTGAACTGATTTGGTTTTGGTTTTACCTTACAGTTTTTTGTGCCTTTGATTCGAAGTTCTCTGGAGTCGTAATAGCTTTATCCAACATAAAGATAACACCAGGACCATAACATTGACTATATTAATAAAATCCCTGCAACCTTTGGTTTTGGTTCTTACCACGCTTCTCAAAAGAATTTTTTAAGGAGTAAGTGTTAATTAGGAAGTAAATGAAATGAAAATTGTAAATGAAAATTGAAAATTGTGTTAGTGTATATAAGTGTTTTATGGAAAATGAACTTTTAAACGGCCCTCCTATAGGTTTTCACTTTTCCAAAAGAAGGTTGGAGTTATGATACCAAACCAAATTTCAGAAATAAGACAGAAGATTTTTTTTTTTTTTTTTTTGAAGTTTGGAGTCGAAATATAAAATGAAGTTCACACAATTACCAAGAATCCTTAGCACAGCACCGTACAAAGTGTAGCAAGACCCCTCAGGTGCTGATTATATAACTTTCTATATTTGATATATTGGTCATTTGAGTTCCAATCTTCAAAAAGGTGTGTCATGGTAGGCTGAAAAACTTCCTAAAATCTGACTCTTGACCCAATAGCTGACCTAGGTAGTGTTGGGATGGGATTAAATATTAAAACCTTATCTCAGAGATAAGATAAGCTCACCTATAAGTATCATAATTTCGTCCTCCATCCAACATTGATTTCATCTTTGAAATCTATTAATCTAGTTTGAAGGGACCATCTTCTATCTCTTAGAACACCAAGAATGAACATCAGTTCGTTCAGGGATTGGGGTGCTACCTCTTGGATCCCTGCCAGGAAATAAGTAAAGCTGCCTAGCCTTCCCCTTCAGCATCCATAAAAAGCCTCTTGGACTCAGAATTCATACTATTAGGCAAGCTCCACAGCTGTCTTTGCTGCATAAATTTAAATACTGGAAATAATCCAAGGCACATTTTCCAGAACTACTACTACTCAAAATGACAGAAGTAGTCATTTCCAAAATCACCATGTATTATCCTGTTCTAAAAATATATAGTGATGTGCCCACAAAAAGGATTGCCACTACTTTGAGATAATTATGAATTTATCATCTCCTGTATCATTCAGAAACATAATATTTCTCCAGTTGATGTGAACAGGAAATTTGGGGAACATGCTTCTCATTATAATCCCAGCCGTTTGTAAAGAGAAAGGAACCCCATTTGGAGCTCCTGATGTATGTCATACATATGGACTAGCTTATGCATCACTATCAATGGCGGTATGATTTTTTCTTTAGTCTATTTTGACTAAAACGAATTTGCCAATATGTATGTATGGTTCAGAACTTGGTAATATATGTATCTAATAAGGGATATACTTTGGAACCATAGTTAGTGAGATACAGTAAAAATAAATAGAGACCTTAACAAAATAATTAATTTTCATGCAGCTTCACTTGTGAATAAAGTTTATATATTACACAAATATTTGTATATATGATTTGAAACTTACTTTTTTCTGTGCATGCATTTTTTTACTACGTCCATTGAGGATGACAGTCTTATTCCAATATTTCCATCTTGCCTGTTGTTGCACTTCAGATAGGAGCCATTTATTTATGGTCATTTGTGTATAATATTGTGCGGATATATTCAAGTAAGAGCTCAAAAGAAGTTGAAATCAATGTCAGTAAGCCGTCTAGAGAGATCTCAACTTCTCAACTAGGGAGTTGCGAGGAACCATTACTATCTTCAAAAGACTCCACGATATCTGAGGATCATGCTGATCAAATTGCACTGCCTCAAACTAGATTTGAGGGGAAATCTAAGGTTTGTTTCCTGCTTTACAGTTTTATTTTTAATGTCTATTTTATTGCAGAAAGTTAGTATATGATCTCTTTGAAGTTATTCAATTGTCAATGGCTACCACAGTAATTCCATATAAATTGCTTTTGCCTGGTGGATGTATGTTAAGTAGAATCCTATTATAATTATAATTTGAGAGAGTTTCTATAAAAGTGTTGGTCATAGGATTTGATTGATTGAGCCTATTGAAATATCATTATTTTTATTTTTATTAGCTGTTTTTAGTCTTTTATTAGGTGTTTTATGTAAGATCCCTATAATCATGGGATCACATAGATAAGATCCCCGTAATCATAGGATTCCGTAGATAAGATCCTCATAATCATGGGATCACGGAGATTTTGGTATATTTTATATTTTTCTTTGATTTGGTTTCTTTTCTTTGTACCCTATTCTTGTATATAAATATAGCTCTTGGCTCTTGGTTTGAATAAGCCAAAACCCAAAACTTCTTCTTTTTTGTATCAGAGCAAAACAAAAATCTTCGCCTCCCCATCTTCGTCTCCAACGTCGCTACCTTCTCTCTCCCTCTGTCCATTTTCCCTCACCTCCAGTGCACCTCCATCTCCTCCCAGCCCTTGCACCGTACCCCTCGGGTAACCCTTTGTTTTTGACTCATTTTTTAGGAGAATTCCCTTATGCTGCTTTTGGTGTGCAGGAATGGAATGGAATGGAATGCCCATTCCAACCATTCATTTGTTTAGTATGCAATTTAAAGTGAGAATGGGCATTCTATTGGAATGAAAATCCATTCCACAACTAAATCTATGGAATGGTCATTCCATTTCCAAGTATTTTTTTTAAAAAAATTAAATTCCGAAAAAACCCTCATGTTCCAAGTCCAGAAACCACCAATACCACCATTGCCTTCCACCACCGCCGCCACCGTTAGCACCATTGGCTTCCACCACCACCACCACCACTGCCGCAACTGCCACCACCATTGCCACCGCCGCCACCACCACCACCACTGCTGCTGCCGTTGCCGCCACCACCACCGACATTGCCTTCCACCACTACCACCACCACCGCTGATTTCCACCACCTTCCACCACAACCTCCATTGCCTTCCACCACCGCTACTGCCATCACCACCATTGTTGCCACCTTCAACCACCACTGACTTCCACCACCACCACCGACTTCCAGCACGACCATATTACCATAGTCATTTGATAGGGTCATCCAATGATTAGGATGAAGTCCGGGGGTAATATGGTCATTCTCGTAGTAAAAATATAATTAATGTATTTTATTGGGCTATATAGTACATACTAGCAACAATAAATGTGTAATAAAAACACAACAATAAAAAAATAGGAACCGGTTGACGTGTGAACACGACACGTCGACTGGTTTGGGTCATTCAGTCGTGTGACAACTTCACATCGACTAATAGGGTTATTCACAGTGGAAATGCTCACTGCCCAAAAACGTGAGATACGGGTCGACGTGTGGGAACTTCACGTCGACCGATTCTCCTTTATTATGGACACTCAGTTACTTTAATCACTCAGCCAATTACACTCAAACCACCCAAAACCCAACCACTAAATTACCACAATTACACAGCTAAAATGACACTAAAATAGCATTGTATGTATATATATATATATATATATATGCACATATATACTTATGTTAAAATAACCCAAATAAATCCTTTCCTCTTGTACACTCAACAAAATGAAGTTAATATAATTTTAGGCTTATCCATTCACATATAGTGTGAAATATATAACATATATCTACATGTAGGGATTTAATAAAATTAACTTTAATTACATTCCTGAAATATACAAAATATGCCCAAAAGTATATAATTACAAATTTTGACCCTTATGGTCATAAATACAATACTTTACAAGAAAATTCATCAACTAAGCATTTGTTACAAAATTATCAAAAGATGCTTCCGTAAACCCTAATTAAACTTGTGGGGGTCCTTCATCAACAATGTCATCGTCATAACCTGAAAAATGTTAAAGGAAGGGGTGAGTATGGAGGCTCAGTAGAAGATACCTAAGGCGCCAACTTTGGACTCCCTTGAGCCACACATCACACATTGGGGATAAAAGAGAACCGGGATCATACTTAGGGAAATTTTATAGCATTTGAATCACATATTAATCCAATCAGTAGCATTAATACAATTTCGCATACTTAGAATGAAAATGCAATGCAATGCAAATGGTCGTACCAAAAGCACTTTCATCATCGACGCAAGTCACACACACACCGAACTCGTTAATCCAACCCGGTACGAGGCGACTCCCTGCTATCTCGAGAGAAGGATTGCCGTCTATCCCTGACTTAGGGCGACTCCCTAGCGTCATTCGGGGCCTAGGCGACTCAACCACACATGAAGTATTTGCTCCACATTCCCTCTAGATTGCATTAACTCCATGGACACAAGGCGATTCCTTGTTGTCCGATTTTCACAAACTTTGTTTTTAAAAACATACAAGTTTCAAATTTTCATCCCAACACATGCTCTTTCTTAATGTCATAATGTGCATGTTATATGCCAATGTCTCATTCAACTTTCCCACCATGCCATGCACATGAATACAATTGCATCAACTTAATTTCAATTTCACTTGCAAGATAACTATGGCATAAACATGACATTTCTCAATCATTTAGTCATAAGTATGGCATTCTCATTCATTTAAAACACAGGCATGTACATAGGATTCACATCATCACAAATCATGTCAATATTTATAATTTAAGCAACTTTGCACCAACGTCATATCATCCACATTCTTAGCATGAAATTAAACACATTATTGTATCATACACTAGCATGCTTCCATCAAATCATTATGTCATCATTTTAGCTCACAATTTGCATATAAGAATGTACTCGAGAGAAATCAAATATATATGTTCAATAAAAGACAAAGTTTAGAGCATTAAACAACCCCTACCTCAATTGTGTGCAACCAAACAAGCCTTAAGGCTGAGCCAAAATTCAAAATCCTCCTAACCCTTGCAACATTGGTCTCAAATGGAAGCACTCTCCAAGCTCTACAACTTCCTCTTTTTGCCATTCTCCCGAATCACACTCTAAAGCTCTCAAAAATGAATTTGAAACATGGAGCTACATAGATACATATAAGCTTATAGATATAGAGAGAGAAAGAGGAAGAAATTAGAGAGAGAAAGGAGGTGGCTGAATGGGGAAAGAAAGGAGGGGATGGTGGTATCTTGCAGATGCCTCCATGGCCAATATTGTGCCAAGAGTCAAGCCCTAAATGGTTATAACTCTAAGTCAAGTTACAAACATGCTGTCACTCTTCCTTTGCAATGCCATCCAAGTCCCTAAAATATCTACCTTAATGTATAGATATAGATGTTTGTACATGTGTGTGAAATGTCCACAATACCCCTCAATGAAAATGGCAAAATTGGGAAAGGTTCTCGAGCTTGGAAATCATCCCGACTTCTAAAAAATTCTAAAATCAATCCTGTTGCCTCTAATTGACTTAAAATAATTAAAATACAATTCTAAAACCCCTTGGCTCAAAAAATGGCTTAAACAGCCCTTGGGGCCGTGTGGCACGCAAAACGAGGTACGAAAAAATAAATAAAATAAAAATTCGAAAAAAATCTAGAAAAATCCGGTACATTACATTCAACCACCGCCACCTTCCACTTACACCCTACCGATGCTGATTGGGCTGGATCCATGGTTGATAGGCGGTCAACTACTTGCTACTGTACCTTCTTAGGAGGGAATTTAGTTACGTGGAGAAGTAAGAAACAACCAATGGTTGCTTACTCTACAGCAGAGGTAGAATTCAGAGCTATGGCTTAAGGGATATGTGAACTAAACTGGCTGAAAATGATACTCTCAGATTTGAGGGTAGAAGTGAAGGACCCAATGATGTTGTACTGTGATAATAAAACAGCTATAAATATAGCTCATAGTCCGGTACATCACGACCGGACCAAACACGTGGAAGTGGATAGACATTTCATCAAGGAAAAATTGGACTGGGGACAAGTTTGCACTCCATACGTTCCATCCTCTAAACAGATTGCTCATGCGCTCACTAAAGGATTATCTAGCACAATTTTTCATCAGATTGTTGACAAGCTTGGGATGCAAAATATCTTTGCACCAGCTTGAGGGGGAGTGTTGGAAAAGTTGACTTATTATTCTTTCTATAAATAGGCTATATAGATATGATTGTAATTTAGATCCTAATTTTTAGCTCTTAATTTAGGAGAGTAAGGAGAGTTGTCTAGTTTACCTAACGTAAGTCTACTCTTGTATTTATATATATATGTGTGTATAATTCTTCTATAATAAAAAGGGTGGTTCATTCTGCACAATTTGACAGTACTGATCATCCTATTTCGTAGTATATCTCTTATGATGGTCTTTCAGGGTCTTACCGAGCCTTTCTAGGCAAACTTGATTCCATTTCCATTTCCAGAAACGTGTCTGAGGCTCTTTGGAATCCCAATTGGATGTTTGTTATGAAGGTAGACATGGAAGCTTTACAGTATAATGAAACATGGGAGCTTGTATCTCTCCCTCCTGGTGAAAAGAATGTTGGTTGCAAATGGGTATTCAGTGTTAAATATTTGGCTGATGACTTTATTGATCGGTATAAGGCCCGTTTGGTGGCCAAAGGGTTTACTCAGATTCCTCAGATTCCTGGTAAAGACTTTAATGATACCTTCGCTTCAGTGGCTAAATTGGCTTTAGTTTGTTTGCTTGTCTCCCTGGCTGCCTCTCGCAATTGGCCTCTTCATCAGCTTGATGTGAAGAATGCTTTCCTTAACGGTGATCTTCTTGAGACTATTTACATGGATCCTCCACCCGGTTTTCAAGCTGAGGGGGGAGTATACTGGAAAGGTCTATTGACTGCGAAAGTCTTTGTATAGATTAAAACAATCTCCTAGAGCTTGATTCAACCGCTTCAATGATGTGATTCTATCCATGGAGT